GAACCATGGTAAAGAAATCCTCAAAGATAATAAATTTTATTTTTCGTTTGAGAACAAAACTGAAGGTTTTCTTATCAAAATGTACAAAGCGTTCGTTCAATCTCTTCTTGACTACAATACGAGGTATCGCAAATCAAGTAAAATAATTGAAGGACTCCAAAAATGTTTTATACGAAGCCTTTCTTCTAATGGAAATTTTAATTATAAAATAAATCTTCTACAATACAACCTGGATTCTCTCTCAGTTCATCGAACCAAACAAGATTTAATTTATACTTATAAGTTTCTGCATGGTTAACTGAAATTTGTTTAAGATATTACAATTTTGGGCTAAATTTGAATCCAACAAGAAGTAATGGGCAAAAATTACTAAAACCTATGTGCAAAAATAAGCTAAGGACCTATGATTTCTTTATTCATACTATTAATTACCGGAATAAATTATCAAACGATATAGCTTATGCGTCATCTCCAGCTATCTTTAAAAAAACATTGGATAATATCATTCATATTAATTAAAAAATTCAGATCATGCAAAAACTGTGGAATCTCGATTTTTACGATCTGATTATGTGTATAATACAATTATTTCGAATTGTAATATATTATATCGTTTTGTAAGTTCCCCTTTAAATTATTAATTTTTGTCATGTTTTCTTTTTCTTTTTTTATCATTGATTATATGTTATTTTACCTGTTATTATTAATGCAAGCACCTGGCGTTTGCCGCCTTGCTTGGCTGGTTTTCAATAAATATTCAAAAATTTTCGCTAGCCATCGGTAATTGTCACAGTATATCCTATTACCTTTCTTGGGAAATGGGAGCAGAATTGCTTTACTTCATGTATCGGGTTTCTCTTTTCTTTACCAGAGAAAAATTTTGTTAAAGAGTTCAGCCGGGAAACCATTTCCGGGAATTTTATTGGCCTTAAGCTTATGGATAACGGAATTATTTTCTTTTCTATTGACGGTTCGCAGTTGCAAACGTTTTGGGATGAACCAACTATATCTAGGACAATGCTGGCACATAGTGGATAAGTTTGGCTTCAAAGAATTCCTTCCTTTACGAGACGATCGTTAACAGGCACACTTACTATTTTGTGCCGTTTCGTTTCGTTGCTGATCGTTCCGTGAGTTATAGTTGTTTTATGAAAAAGGCGGAATTATTTCCTGTTATCACCTATTCGAACTGCTATCTCAATTTCCCAAGCCATATACTACAATAATTTCTTTTCTGCCGAGCTGCTGTCGTTACACCCGATAATCAGGATCTCTTGGCATTCATGCTTTAGCATCTTTTTCAGACAGTTGGGCAGCTTGGGCATGCACTAGTATGTCATAGCGTGAACCGTTAATTGAAACCAGTATTCATTTGTCATTCCAGAAAAACTGTTGATTTTTATATCATTGAGATGATTCAATAATTCGGTTTGAAATGCGCTCACTCCAATTCTTCCCGAATCTTTTAGTTTGGAATAGAGATCTCGTGGGATGCTGTTTCTTGCGAATTTTAAATTTTATGCAGATCTTGGCTCGAACTATAATATGTTCAGATCTATAAAGGTTGCCCGTTTCAGCGCCGTAATATGAGCGACTATCTAGTACGGAATTCTTCCAACGACGAATAACCAAGGTAATACAAACAATGTGGTTAGAGTATTAGTTATCCGAGATTTCCAGGTGATTAGATATCTTCGTCGGTATCACATAGTAACAAAATGTTCGTGCTGTTTGGCGAACAAGGCGTTCTGCATTGGCGCACCGGACCCCGATGCCATACGTGGTGGTTTATGTGTACATTCCTATTTCTCTCGATTATGAACTTTCGATAGAAATATTTAGCAGTTGAAGTTCCTCACAGAACTTATTCTTATCATAGTCATCTGCAGTTAAAGTTGGAACATATATATTGATGATATTATAGAACTTTCATTTAAAGCGGGTATATGACATTCGGTCGATTATCGATTTATCGTTTTTCATTCAATTAAGACGGAATAGACCTTTCCAGATATGCCATTTTGTCCCGAATTATTCGAAAGTGCTCATGCGTTTGGATTGCAACGTCCATAAGTTCTGACTCTGACATTTCCCGCTGATACGGCTCTTAAAAGAGGCACAGGCCATACGGTCGCTTACCGGTTTCCACTCAATCAAGGCGGAATGAGACTTGTCAGACATGATAATCGCTGCGCCATTTCGTCCCGATTTATTCAACGCACCACAGTGATATAGCCAGTATCTCTGCTCCGAACCAGGATCAATAATTACTTAAGACCCGAAAGGAGGAAGACGGACCTCCAACAAGCGATCTCCACACGATATTTAGAAAGGGTGTGGACAGTGGTTTTTTAACTTGCAACGTCCATAAGCGTTCTGACGCTGATACGGCCAATACCACGCGTGCAGAGGGATGTTCCCTTTGATAAGTTTCGAGCAATTACCCTGGTTTGCGAGCATATTTTATTTATAAGCCTTGTGATCGTTTTACATCCGGATTTTACATTTATCGCATGTACCACCGGACTGGGAGTATCATGCACGTCAAAGGGGGCGAAAGCCGTGTCAAGAACATCTGATCCTTTTACCATAGGGTCATTAGAGGGTAGAGTGGGTCCTCAGCAGCCACTCGGATTCTTGATATGACAGGTTTGATCCTGTCGAAGGCAAGGATAAAGTAAAAAATTACAATATTAAAAGAATTAAAAATTAAATTTAAGGGAAAAACAAGCTTTAAAAAAATATCGTCTGAGGTGAATTCTTATAATCGATAACTTTTATTGTTTAGAGGTATTGGTTATATCTCTGTGATGTCTCCGATAACTCATATCAAAGTGGCATAGCGATTGCCATGAAAAAGCTCGGTTTGCTCTGATTGGTGGAAGCCAGCAAAGATCGTATGGCCTATATGCTTTTCAAAAGGAAGTTCTGCAATATTTTAATCATCATACACAATTTTATGCATAGATGACCAAGATAAAGATAAATTTTATGTGGAACTTCAATTGTTAAAAACATTTCTACCAAAAAGTGGCATGGTCATATTCAGAGGAGAATGGAATGTGTTGGTCACAATGCCTGCACTCCGTAATTGGCAAATATGGCATCAGGCGCGCCAATGGGAAACGCTTTCGCTTTGCCGAAAAGCATGGACTTTTTATTTACAAACTTCTGGCTTAGAAGACACTTAGTCGAGTGGAACTACGTTTGCAGTCACGAACCACCAACAGAAGAGGAAATAATCTCTGCTATCCATAAGTTTAAGGCCAATAAAACTCCCAGAGGGAATGGTCTACTGCACCTTCAACAAATGTCTCTCTGGTATAGCGAAAAGTAATAACACCGGATGGTTGGACCAAAACCATTCTCCTTCTAATTCCTAAAAAAGATGAAAGGACATACTGTGACAATTATCAGCGTATTAGATGTCTCTGCGAAAATTCCCGCTTCTAAATAGATTTATGGTACTACCAGGTACTAGGATGCGCACCCTAACCAAGCTGGATTCAGACTGGTGACCAGATATTCACGTCAAATATGTGCAACTCACCGTTATGTGTTTGATCAACTTTGCAGCTGCCTTTGATTCAGTTGGTAGAACGGCGCTTCGGAGGGTGATGGAACATGGCGGTGTTACAAATATGTAACATGGCGGCGATGTTTTACCAGCATATGTCGGCACAGGCCTGTGTATATGGGGAACTGACAAGCTTTTTCAAAATAAATACTGGTGTCCATCAAGGCTGCCTCCTTCCCCTTACAATATTGAACTATGCGATAGACTGGCTAATGAACATCGCTCAAGAGGTGTACAAATCCTGAACATAGTATTACAGATCTTGAATACGCTGATGATGTAGCCTTTTTTGCTGACAATTATGATGAAATGCGAATAATGCTAAATATTGTTTGTCAACAACTCCAGCGAGAATTGGATTCAGGGTTAGTGCAAATAAAAAGTATTTCTCTAATATACAAGAAGCTGATAAAATGCCTATTTTTATCAATTCATTGCTGGTTGAGGAAATTTCCGACTAAATTTATATACTTTGGACCCACTCTAATCCCAAATTGGAAAGCGAAATATGAAATTACAATCCAAACAATGGTAGCTAGAAATGCCTTTTTCCTGTTGATGAAGCCTTTATAGACTCGTCGCGAAATCGCTATATAAACAAAAGCCCATGTTTATGTAATCGCAGTTCACTTGATTTTGTGATATAGCAAGATTAGAGGATATTAAGAAGATATCGAAAGTACATCTTAGGACTCATCGCGTGGATAAAAACATGATCCATTTCCGTTCAAATACTACTTGCATCAACAGTACCATCACAGAACGTTGCCTTCACTGGTTACGGTACATCTTTGATCATCCACCACATGAACTGACGTATATTTCGCTATTTGCTAAACACCGTAACGAATGACGTCAAAAGCTAGGAGGACCAATCATGAACTGGACTGATACAGTCAGAAAATGTTTTGAACGTATAGAGAGGATTAGAGATGGCGTCCGACCGAAACAGCTTAGAGATGTCTTACCCTTATAGCCAGCGAGCCAGTCTAAGCTGTTAGAAGTAGAAGAAAATTATATTATATTTTATTACATTAAAATAAACCATGGGCTTGAGAAAAAAAAGGTGGATGGAACTCTGAGCAACCACTGAATATTATATCATCCCAAAAAAATTTATTTAATATTATTTTCTAGATCTTTGAAACTTTTAAACACGAATATGCACACGAGGTAATCTTTGTTGTACTTCATAGAGCACATTGCGATCATAATTTCGAAGAAGTGAATGCAAATTTTTGATTGAAGTGAGGTGCCGTTCTTTTATTGTTCTAACTAATCGAACTGGAATATTCCTAAAAAAATTTCAAAAGCAATCAACAGCTTGTATAAAAAAAAATTGGCAGGAAATAGTAACATAGACATTAAAAATACGCACAAATTCAGCAATTATTAGAAAACCACAGAAAGCACAGATAATAAATCACCTTTGGATGCTACTGTGCCAATCGCCTCGAGAACTGTATGCATCATACAATATTGAAGAAACAGAAGTTAGTGTAAGATACGGTAATCCAGCCTTCAAACTAAATAAAACTGATCACAAAATTATTATAATGCATTTTAATTCTAAGAAAGGATTAAGAAAATATTTTGAAGCCATTTCTATGAAAGATTTTAATGTAAGCGATTAAAAATACGAATAAAAAATTCATTTAAAATTTAATAAAAATTTAAAAATAAAGTGGCCTTAGACCCATAGATTTATCTATAGATGACAATGAAAAGTTTGTATGATTTATTAAAACTTAAGAGGAAAAAATCCTACTCGATATATTTGTTTAATGGTAACTTTTGGACAACAACATTATCTTCTTTGGCTGCAACCAAAGATGCCTGTGGGTGGATTCCATGTTCTTGAACGCGATCGACAATTCCTCCCAAGATAAACACTTCATTACCACTAATCTATAATTCTTTTATAGTTGAGTTAAAAGATTTTTCAAAATAAAGAGAATTAACAAATATATCATGCACATAATTTATAATTTATGTAAAAAGAAAGGACATATCAGTTTAAATTTGATTAACGATGAATGAAGAAAATAAACCTTTTTCAGTTCTTCGTTAGCGTGTGGACTTAAATAAATAATCCGAGATGGCGAGAAAATTTTCGTATAATTAAGAAATGTTATTTCAACATTTATTAACCTGCTGGGCATCGGTAATAATTTGTATCTAAAGAGCAGTTAATTTTCAGTCAATTCAGTTTATTTACAAAAACAGAAAGATAATTGACTAAGAAAATGGATCCACTGCATTTCCGGTCAGTTTCGCTCCTTGCCAAACTTAAAGCCAAAAATTTTCACCATGAAGCTAACCAACTATTATAGAAATACGAGTAAGTACCGTCTGGATTTGCCCCAATTAAACCAATGGGTGTTGTTGAAAGATTAATAAGAAAATATCTATTTTTGCTCTTTTTTCAATATGGATAAAATTGGAAAATTTTCCTAAGAATTTTTTCAAATTTAATTATTATAGAAAGGGAATAATGGAAATTGATTAACTTGCTGAATGCTTCAACCAAATTTTCATCGTTAAAATTCACATTGCACAAATAAATGGGCCAAGGGAATTGTCGCGAATTATTATTTGCTATTAAATAACGTATTTGAAGAAGTGTTAGCGAAAGTGCTCTCGGTGATAAGAAACTCAAAAATCGACAGTCGATAGCCAAAGTCGGATATGGGTCAATAATCATAGAACGCAAACATCGTAGCGATTCTTCGCGTTGTTCATCTTTAGCTAAATTAATAAAATTTTATGAAATATCGAAGAGAATTTTTGGATTATTTTGGAAAAAAAACTTTCAGCAATGCATAAAAAATATGAAATATAAGAGATCAAATTTTTTGATAAAAAATTAAAATTAAAATTCTGTTCTTCTGAGGCCGTAATGTGTTATTCATTGATAGGGAAATCTAGAATCTAAAGCTGAAATGAAAAACCATCTCTGGCGAAAGGGCAAAAACGCCACCTAAACATAGATTATAGTTGCCAGTACAGCCAGTAATACTCATTTTTGAAAATATTACTTATTTTACGAAGAGGAGAAAAAATTAATTGACGGCACTCGTTTTCGCCAAATTCTTTAAGATTTTCACTTTCTTGTTCGAGTCGTTTCAAATTATTTAATTTCCGATTAAGCTTTTCTTGCTCATTTTTCTTTGATTCATTTATTTTCAACCATTCATTTTTGCAACGAAATTTCAAATAATCCAATCTTTGCTTCCTAATTCGACATTTTAATAATATTTTCCAATCCGAATCATTTAGAGTCGATGGAAAATAATAATAACATCGTGAAAATAGCTGAAAATATTAAATTTATAAAAGCACTTATATAACGAAATTCGATAAGAGTTAGATTATATTACTTCGATTTCAGCAACAATTACATTCAATTCACTCCTATTATCATCAGTTAGTGATTGCCAAAATTCAATTGATGGATACTCTTTTAGCTTTAGAGATTCTGAAACACTGAAATAATTATATTTAATGATACTGGATTTCAATAAAATGGAAAATAAACTCTGAAGAGGATTCTATTGTTTGAAAAAACAATCTGTGCTTAAGCAGGTTAGCCTAAAAGAAATATTGGTTACAAGGTAATATTGGTTTGGGAACAAAAGATTTCTATGCGTAAAGAGTTCTCATCTAATCATCTTTAAATCACTCATGCCGAGGCAGTTTTAATGGAACCAATTCAATGGGACCAAGCCATATGAACATAAATGCCATCGAGAATCGACTCTTAGGTTTCGAATCCGGCCGATGAACCAGGCGGTACTTAATGGAGAAAGAAAGAGAGTAAAATGGCTCAGTGGGTTCTTGCACAATACTGAAGTTCTATTCCTGACGGAAATAAACAGAAATCCAAAAACTGGAGTGATGCCGGGAACTCATCTGTACTTCTATCGCCAAAAAACTCACTGGCATAAATATCTAAGACGAGTCGAAGGGCCGAGTCAGCAGTAGTGCTTAAAATACTAGGCCACATATCGATGTAAAAGACCTATTATGTGAAAACATCTGTCCTAAATAGTGATATAGATACTAATATCACCAAGCCATATTAATAAACCATTTACTCCAAAGAACTGGCCGCACCAAATTTTCAAATCGCAATAATTTCATGACGTTAAAAGCTGTAGATCGCCAAGTATTTCTCAATAATTCCATAGGCCACCACTATTGAATCATAAAATGTTGTGACCTCAAAAAATGAAATTCGTTTTAAAATTCAAATATGAAATGACCATATTTTTTTTTGTTAACATGAATATTGGTATAGCAATAGCAAAACTGCATTCATACAATATTTCAAAAAGAAAACTGCATTACCAACAAAAATATTTATTAATTTTCTAACGATCAATAATAATTCAAAAATCTTAAAAGAAGCCTTAAAAATATTTAAATCTTTCAAATAGTTGAAATAACCATCAATGAGTCTTTTAAGACCCATCAAAATTTTTCAAAATATACCAAGAGAATTATAAAAGAAATATAACAAATATGACCAATAATAACAGAAAATAAAATAAAAATTACGGATTAAAGCCATTAATGAATTAAAAATAATAAAATAAATCTATGATAAACCTCTGATAAACAATCATAATGCCCATAGTAAATTTATGAAAAAAGCGATTTCACATGAAATTTTCAAATAAACGGACTTTTAAAATACATTCGCACCGAATCAACTGAATCAATAATCAAGATAAGCGATAAATAAATAGTTTCATAGAGATAAAGATTAAAAGGAAATATATAGATCTCATGAATTTACAGATAGATCGGAATTTTTTGAAGGCTGTTCGGTAAATTCAAGTTGGGCTCTGAATTCAGGTACTGAAAGAATCCTTTCGAGGGCAGTTTTTTTACTGATAAATCGTGAGGGAACGTTTTCTAATGATGTAACTACTGCCGTACCTTTGACTGTTCTGCGAGACTCGGCTCTCAATAAAACGGACTTCGAATTGCCTAAACTTTCAAGAAAAAGATCGTTAGCATTCGTTCATAATCATTCGTTTGAAAATGACCCAGAGGGTGGTTCTACTTGTCTTAATATCGAAACGTCAATGCTGGGATTCTATTCCATGAAGGACCCGCTCTTTAATGGCGACTAATCTGCATTTCTATCTTTAAATGATTCCCTGATCCCCTGTAAAAAATTATCTGTTCCGATAGATTATTATTATTTAATCTTATATAAAATTTTTCTTGAAATTTCTAATGGTTTCGAGTAACTTCAATCTTGAAATAAGATAATGTTTTTTTTTATCCTTAATTCTTCATTTCTGCCTTTGACAGGAGTAAACCCGCCACGGTATAGTTCTATCAAAAATCCAAGTGGCTGCTGGAGATCCATCTGCAATTCAGTTCCCAAGTGACTCCATGGTGAAAGGTCAGGTTTTTTGACTTCTGTATCCCTCGCCGACGCGCATACTTCCAGACCAATGGCATATACGATAAGTATAAAATTCGTATGTAGTAAAACGATACCAAATATTCGGGAGCCAGAGTAATTGCTCGAAACTTGTCAAGGAAAACGAGAAATTGTCTAATGAATGTGCTGCGAGATGTTTGCCATAGCTCAGAAAATCAGAACGCTTATGAGCCAAGCGATAACTATTTAAACCTTTACTATTTAAACCTTTACCGCGAATATCGTGTGGATGTCGAATGCTTATCAGAGGTCCATGTTCCTTACTTCGGGTTTCGAGTTATTTTCTGGCTTTAAGAATTATTGGCTATATCACTGTCTTTCGAATAACTCGGAGTGAAATGGCGTAACGATTATCATGTCTGAAAAGGCTTTAATTGAGTGGAAACCGGTAAGCGACCGTATGGCCTATACCCATTTTAAAGGTAATTTCTGTAATATCTTGGTCATCAGTAAACGGCATATGACCATGATAAAGATAAGTTCCATGCAGAATTTCAATCGCTAACCAAGTCTTTACCGAAATATAACATGGTCATAATCGGAATGCGCACATAGGTCATAATGCCGTTGCAATGACCTCGATAATTAGCAAATACAGCATCGGAAATCGGTACGTCAATGGAGAATGTCTCCTTAGTCCCGAACAGCATGGTCTCCCAGATAACTAATACTCTAACCATATTGTTTATATTATCTTGGTTATTTGTCATTGGAAGAATTCCGTACTAGATAGTCGTTCATATTACGGCGCTAACGGGCAACCTTTATAGATCTGAACATATTATAGTTCGAGCCAAGATTTGCATAAAATTTAAAATTCGCAAGAAACAGCATCCTACGAGATCTCTATTCCAAACTAAAAGATTCGGGAAGAATTGGAGTGAGCGCATTTCAAACCGAATTATTGAATCATCTCAATGATATAAAAATCAACAGAATTTTCTGGAACGGCGCAAAAGCTGATAAAATATTTATTTTTATCAATTCAGTGCCGGTTGAGGAAGTGCCAGATTTTTGAATATCTCGGATCCACTTTAATTCCAAATGGCCAAGTGAAATTACAGCCTTGATTACGGATGTTCTTCTAGCAAAACCTTTGTGGAGTCGTCATGAAATCATAGCAAAAATGAAAGTTCGCGTCTCCATAGCTGCATAGTTCGATCGAAATTGCTATATAGTTGCGAGACATGACCGATGAAAATAAAAGATTTATCTTCCACTGAATCACTCACATATACTTTACTGGTTCGCAGAGCGGATAAAATCTCACCACATGATCCATCTTCGCTCAAACACCCTTATCATCACAGAGCGTTGCCTTTGTTAGGGCATTTCACCACAGGAGTTGACACATAATTCGTTATTTGCTAAATCATGTGATGGACTGAGTTAAAAGCGAAGAAAACCAATCAAAACCTGGACTGATACAGTAAAGATATAGGAAAGATTTTGAACATATAGATGGACCAGCGATATATGGACTTAGAGTGCGCAACCAGTGCAGAAAAACTAATAATGGTGGCAGCCGTTCATAAAAGATTCTTATTCCTTTGGGTTATGATAGGCCCTATCTTCCTAGTAATTTTTTGTCCTTTCTTTCGCATTTCCTTGTATTGCTCTATTCATAAGTGATCTGCCGAAATTTCAAAGAATCTGTAGCAAATACAATAATAAATTTAAGAAATGTTTACCAGAAATAAATTTGCGAGCATCCTCGGGCCTGATTCCGAAAAGAACCATTAAATTGGCAGCGTCATATGGAGCTCGAATATTCATCATAGAACTAGCACCACTAGACAGTATTATACCTCGACCATTGGAAGTTGATGACAATAATTTACGACCATTTATTAATACCTTAACAGTACAATAATTGTAAAACCAGGACAACAAGAACGATTTCAACACAAAATATAAAAGTAAATTCAGTAAAAATAAAAGTATTGAATGAAATTTATAAGATGAGCTAGAACTATGGGAACCTCAAAATATAACATGAATGACAAAGTACCTGACGACGATCATTGCTATTTGTCAAAGCATCAGCGTAACTTATTTCAAAGAATATCCCTTCGCTTATACACGACTGAATGGTCTGAAAACTTAAGGAAAATTAGTTGAAAAATAGTTGAAAATAAGATTTTATTCAATTATAACTCATTAGGATAAAAATTCCTAAAGTAATAACAATCTCTGTTGAAATGTGAGCGTAAGGAATATTTTCAAGAAATTCATAGAATAACAAATTTGTGAAAAACTAGTTAATTCAATTCAATAATTCAATAATTCAAAAAGATAAAAGAGTTAATTTAAATAAATAAGACTATTTCAAAAAAAAAATCCAAAGAATATTTTTTCAATAGAATAAGATTCTAAAAAATAACTTTGCTCTTATAAATCCATGAAATATTATCATTTGTCTGCTCATAAGTAATAATATCAATAAAATCGCCTTTTCGGCTTAAAGTTTGTAGAATTTTTTCATCGGCAACACGAACAGCAATGACATCGTATTTTTTTAATTGTGGATGATGCATTAATATATGTACACTAGTACTGTCTGCGAGGTTGACCGTTAAACGCCTACAAAAGATTTACCCTAATACTTCATTTTTCGGTTATACAAATTCGTTAGCACGATGATTCAGATATATCATCTGGCTAAAGGCATGCAACAGTTGTGGAGGAAGTAAAAATGAAGTGTAATTGTTGGTGTCTACATCTCGAACGTTCCCAAACCAGTAATGGCATAATTTTATAAAGGGAGAAGCTGGCATAAAAAGCTAATGATAAACAAAAAATATAACAAAAATGGGAAATTATCGAAAACTTATAAATGATAATAATAATGATATCCATGCAAAAAACGAAACTAACGTGAATATTCGCAGTCGTTTCCCACTTACTTCTAAGGAAGATGTGTCAATCTTTGAAATATCTACCTTCGGCGGATTCGGAATAATCATTTTATCTCGATGAGCTTCCTTTCTTTTTTTTTTACTCGGTGGTTCACCCCAATTTTCGTTAAACTGAAATGATTTTGTTATTGTAATGCTTAACTGGAATAAAAATAAAAATAGAAATTAGCAGAAGATTTTTAACCTTCTCCCCCATATTATTTCCTAGATCACCAATATCTGTGTTGATAACAATACTATCATAACCCATAATAACAGCACGTCGAATCATCATCATTAGCTTATCATAATCACCAGTAAATCGAAGATTCATTTCAGCAAATCCAAACTGATTAACAATAAATGTCGACATTACTAATGGAAGTCCCGAGCTACTAAAATTTCTAAAATTTTAGTTCAATTCAAGTCAGACCAACTAAAATCATCGCAGATTATCAATATTATTTATAATTATTTATAATTCGAAATAACAATAATAAAAATAATAAATAAGAATTCTAATAGCCCTATCATTTCCCTAACAGTAACAACCAAATTAAAAATGGTGTATTTTGCCAGAATGAAAACTGGAAAAGAACGAAATAAAAACTGCTTACCATTCCTTCATTCTTTTTTTCACACTTAATTTTTCAAAAAAAGAAATTTTTGCTGCTAATGACAATAATTTTATAATTTACAACTTTTATAAATTCAAAAAAAAATTCAAAAAATGAAAAAATTACTCTCAATGTTAATTTCTATTTGAAATTCTATTACTATTATTTTTCATTCGATTTTCTCAAAAATCACCAATTTTCTAGCATAAAAAAAACAATCATAAAATCATAAAAACATCAATTTTCAATCATAAAAAGGACAAAAATTTTTGCTGATGGTATATTATGTAATAATTGCTTAAACAATGCATAATGCAAAAGATCAACTGATGAAGAAAAAAAAGTAATATATTCTTCATTTAATTTTAAAAAAATAGAAAAAGAAAGATGATTTCATACAAATAGGAACTTAAGAATATTGATTAAGAACAATAACAATATTCACATTTATTTAATAAAAATTACGATAAAAAAGGCTATTTTTTCATAGAAGCCGGATGCAGTTTGCCACGACAATCACCAAATCCAATGCGAAAACCATCACCTTGGCACCATCCTATAAAATAGGAATAACACAATTTATTTAAAACACTTTCCAATATCAGTGGTACAAATTAAATTAAAATGAAAATACCTTTCAAATTAACTACATCATTATCATGAAGAAATATACGTTGCTGATTTCCGACCGTTATCTTCTTTGTTCCATTCCATGAGAGTTCAAGCATCGAACCAAACGAATTTTCTGACTACAAAATATTATACGCAGATAAATCCAAAAATATTCAAGATTCGAAATGACAGAAAAAGTTAAAATAAAATAAAATATTGGAATACTACATAATTGAAGAGCCAAGCTTTTTGGGATAGAATAACACAATGCTGCAGTTTTGGCACCTGTCTTTTAAAAAACCGAGTGATGCTGAAGACACTTCTATCGCGAAGTCAACCTCTAATAAAACTTACCTGACCTGATAAGCCAGCCCAGCAAGTTCAACCAGAAATGAGGAGTGGTCTTAGAAAACAAGCTTTTGGACAAAAAAAAGGATTTTAGGAAACCAGTTATATATCCATATCCATAATCAATTTAAGAAATGCCAAATTTTATATATCTTCGATTCGCTGTTATATCACTTTAATTATTTAAACAGCTACAGTTAGAATTCTTCAACCAGGCAAAAACTTTATGAAAGTGTGGAAAAGCAAATATATAATCTTGATGAAATGCAAATAATCTTATATCATGCGAAACATGGCTATTGAGAGCTAAAAAAACTACATAAGCCATATACTTTGGCAACTAGTGTCTGCGACAGGATCTAATCAGTCACTAAAAACAGAATTCAATAGAGTGGATTCAAGACTTCGCTCAAATATACCATATGCATTAATAATATTAACATAGAGCATTGGTTAGGTTATATCCTTTGTTGTTCATTACTGATAATGGCTGATCATATCAATCGAAAAAGACGAGAAAAAAGCCAATCAAAGTCTGGACTGATAACGGTTTAAAGATATTTTAAAAGATATGAACGATTAGGCTGTTCACCAATGCACTTAATTACTAGATATTTGAGTGGCACATATTGATTAAATGAAATATAAAAAATAGCCTAATTTAAATTTTCAGCGGTAGTAAATCTACTATTAGAAAAATTTATGATATATGAGGTGCTAAGGACTCAATTATTTCTATTATTATTTACAAGAGATTTTCTGGTGCAATTTCACATAGATACGGAAATGTCATCAAAAAAAAGATGAAGAGTTTGGAGCTGAAAAAATGGTAGCGGGTTTAGCCTTTAAAATAAGACATCGTACCGAGTTTAGGAAAAATCGGATTGAAGTGTTTTTAAAATAAAAAGATTTGGGCAAAATAAAAAAATAACCAGTACCGGGCCTGACACTGTTCCTGACCCCATTAAATCACCAGGTCTTATATTGCAACCATTAATCGTATGGTGAGCAAGTTGTTGTTTCATTGTCCAATACATATTCGAAAAACATTTATGAATTATTAGAATAAAATCTGGTTAAAGTTTAAAATTTCTAACCAAAGAAATCTTTTTAACTAAACTAAACCAAAAATTTAAAATTACTTTAAAATTTGAACGACAAACCACATATTCGACATTCGATTGCTCAGCTGAAACAGATTAATCGAAAATTTTTCCACTGTTCCTCATTCATAAACCGTGATTGTGGAAATTTTTTAAAGATAATTTTATGAAAAATCAAGGAATTCCAAAATTTTGACTTGAAAAAAACCACAGTAAATAAACTTGTAATAACAAAAAAAAAATTCAAAGCCGAAAAGTAAGGTTTAGAAACACGAAAATATAAGGATGAAATCTAATATATCTACGTTTTATGGAAACCTCGAGATGAATATTGAAAGTGTATGGATCATTATGTTGCAGATAAGACATAGGAGCTGGCTCCTGTAAATTTCAAATTAAACGATCTTTGGCAACGACAAAAGCGGAAGGAAAAGATTACAATTAAAAATTTAGAACCAAATCAATGCAAAAAATTTAATCAAACATCTATTAAAAAATCAACCTGTTTCGATTAGTTTGAAATTTAGAAAAATAAACCTGAACAGGATTCGCAATAACAAATGGTGCTAAAGCGTCCATTGTAATTATCCAAGGTGAAATTGTTGTACCAAAACTTTTGCCAAGAAATGGACCCAATGGAACATATTCCCATTTTTGAATATCTCGAGCTTTAAAAAAAGCCATAAAACATTTCGAAGCTTCAAATTTCGTAAGATATAATTGGCAATTGACTAACCACTCCAATCATTCATAAGAACCATTCCGAAAATTCGATCCGCGGTTTTTTCAATAGGAACTATTTCACCGACATTCGTTGCAGGACCACCAATGAAAAAGGCCATTTCCAGTTCAAAATCAACGAGTTTCGATGGGCCAAATTCAGGACGATCAGCTTAAATGGCAAATTTATAGTTCATTTTATTAGTGTGATCTTTTGAAATCAAAATAAAACACCTTGATCAGTTTTAATCTGGCCGTATGGCCTATAAATTGGAGTCTCGGATACCACAATACTAGATGCTCGACCATGATAACCAACTGGCAACCACTTCCTGAAAACTCATGAAATGGATAAAATGGACAAAAAATTCGATTTCAACTTCAAATCGAAAAATTCATACAATAAACAATAACTAATCTAATAGATAATAAATAACAAATATTTCAAAAAGTTTTACTAACCAATTTGGGAGAAGTGGATCATCCTTATTTCTGAACATCATTCCAACATTTGAGGCGTGGTAAAATGAAGAATAAAAATCTGTATAATCACCGACTGTTGCTGGTAAGTGCATTATAACATCTTTTTGTAAGAATAAAGCTTTTGCTCGTAACTCTGCATTATCGCGAATAGTTCCATCGTTTCGACCCAAAATTCTCTGTAAAATTGCTCGTGCTTCTTTCCATGCAACGCAAGGAAGAGACATGAATGCATTCAACGTTTCCTGAAACATAAACAAGAAAATATGAATAATAAAAGAGAGTATCATAGAATTTCCTTTCAAACATTATAATTTATGGTATTGTTTTTAATGATTCGATCTATTTTTAGTGATAAAAATTTTAATGATAAACTCTTTGAAGTCCATACCAAAATGTAATTAACGGTTAACAAATGAACAGCCAAAATACAAAAAAAAAGAAGATAAAAATATCTGAGAATGGAAAAACTCACTTCCTCAAAAACATTTTGGTGGTTAATGAGGTTTTTAGAATTAAATAAATGCTTAATAATGGAGAGATCCAATACATAATCTCCAATCGCAACTCCAATACGTCGACGCTTCTAAATAACGAAATAACTGATGAACTATCTTTACAAAATAAAATAATAACGTACAAATAAACTTTATTTTTACCATTACAAAAATCAATCTGAATTTTTAAATCTAATTATCCTCCAAACAAAAAATGAGATCTTTGGTTTAAAAAATAACAAAAAATCTTACATCTTGTGGAGTTGAGAAAACACCATAAGGAAGATTTTCAATCGGGAATTCACAATCAACTGGATACTCCAAAAACATTGTTTAATTGATGATTATATCTACGACATTAATATTAAAATTTACATTTATTTAAGAAAAATTTCTTGATTCACGCAAATAAACATAATATACAGATATATTAATATACGATTTATTATAAATGTAAATCGGGAAAAAATAAGAAAAACTGTTAAAAATTGCGACAACTTACATAAGAAGATATAATATTAAAATATTAAAAAAGAGATTTCTCATTTGTTATGACTTCTTCTTCTAACATTTCTTACTGGTTAGGCTGATTCCAAGCGTTACAAGGGTAAGACATTTCCAAGCGGCGGGATCTGATGCCATTATCGACAATGATGGAAGGCATTCCCTATTCCGTTAAATTCATATATTGGTATTCCACCTATACGTTCAAAATCTTTCTTGATCGTATCAGTCCAGGTCTTAATTGGCCCACCTCGCTTTTGACGCCACCCATCATACAGTTTAATAAATAATGAAATATGCGCAACTCTTGTGGTGGATGATGGAGAACATACGCTAATTAGCGAAGGCGAAGCTCTATTAATGTAAGTGGTATCTGAACGACGATGGGTGCGATCATATGATATTTTATCCGCTCGACGGACTCGTAAAATATACCTTAGACAATAATGGTCAAAAGCAGACAACTTCTTAGTATCCTCTACTTTCACTGGCAGTGTCAGCCATACAGCAAAACCGAATGAATCACGGCTATATAGATGTGGACTTTCGTTTTTATGGTGATTTCAAGATGGCTCCATAAACGTTTCATTTGTGATATATTTGATTTATAAACTTATTGACTCAATTAATTTAGGACGATTTTTTGATGATAAAATAAATGATTTCAATACGTCTGAAGATGCGACTGACCAGTATGAACCAAATACAAAAAAAAAAAAAAAAAAAATGAAAGAATATCAACTATGAATTCTGAACATATAAAGAAATATTACAATGGCTGAATTTTTAATGAGCGAATAAAACTATTCTAAAACAACATCACTCGAAAACTGATCTTTCAGTTTGATGGCAAAAAGATCACTTATAGTTAAAACGTAAAGAAAATCATTTGCATATATTCCAACAATATTGTCCGAAATAGTTCCATTTTCCTCAAAATTGCGATTTTTTGACAAAGTAATTAAATTCTGTTTGGACACATCGCTTATACGTTGACCGGTGTGCCGATTTCGCAAATCTGCAGAGGAATTTTCACATATCAAATTTCATTCACCCAAATTTCAAATTTATATCATGAATGACATCTCATCAAGAGAACTGGTAACAAAATAGTTTCTCTTACTGACCCTACGCGAAGAAATTCACAAAGTATTTCGAAGTATTTCTGAAGTATTTCAAAAGCGAATGGTAAGTCGTCCCGTCTGAGAATAATAAATAATATCTCTTCTCTTGGCAATACCAAAAGAGAAATAAGATGATATTATGTAATTTCATATACTTCCATTCCTAAGTGACTCTCTTGCGAACCTCAATAATTTAAACTGAACCCAACATGTTATTAAAATAGAAAGAAAATTGGATTTTCACCTTTAGCGAAGGACTCTAATGGACGAAAACGCGACTATTTTTTTTATTTATTAATATTTTATTTTGTATATTCTTAAACAATAAAAATACAGTTACTAAAGGACCTGATGTTATTATTGTTGGCTGCCAATAAACAAAGGCATGTCGTTTAGCTTCGACAATCACAGCATATGAGCAATCCGAGGAACATGTGCTGAATTTTCGCTGATTTTTTGAAGCCTTTAAAGCATTATTAATAATAACTGAATAAAGCACCAGACAAGTAAAAAATAAAATGGAAATAAAAAAGAACATAAAACAAAAAAGTGGGGAATATAATAAATGTAAACGTCTAAAAGAGCGCAATGATATGGTCGCACATCACCAATTTTGGTGCAATACTGCAGAGAAAACTGGTTTCATATTTAAAATATTAAAATATAAAAATATTACAAAGGAAAAAGAGACTAACAGAAAGTGACAGACAAAAATTTCCAATTGTAGAAAAAAATATTTTACAATTTTTTTAAAATTTCATAAAGTCAAAAGTATAGGAAATAAAAATAATAAATACCTGTACATATCCAAATGCATTAAAGGTTGCTCGATGATATATAGGCTTCATTTCATCATCAGAAAATGACCATAAAATACCATCAATATCCATCCTAAGACAAATACTACGCATTTCTTTTTGCAATGCTACAGTGAAGAGCACATTACTAGTTATATTACACTGGAAAACAATTATTAAAATGACGTTACATAATCACTTTGATATAAATAACTATAAAGTGTCCTAAGGATAAACATCAATGTCAATGAAAATGCATTAAGTTCAATTCCTATCGTGATAAAATTAAGTTACTTCATGTTTAAGAAAAAACGTGTCAACATGGAACCATCGAAGTTTACAAACATCTTCCTCATTTATGTCACACTCTTCCAATTCATCAGTGCTGAATGATGGTAAATCGCTTATCTTAAACAAAAAATAAATAAAATAAATAAAAAATAAAATGAAAAAACAATTAATTCTAGTATTTTATTAATTAACAATTAATTAACAAGTAATAAAACAATTCGAATTACCTCCATGTCTGAAGAGAAACGTTCTAAAACATCAAGAGCAGATTTGAAAGAATTTTCATCTGAACAATATATACCATTAGTAACTCCAACAACAAGTTCTTTCCAAACACAACATGCATCACTTTTATATAAAGTTAACTCGAACCTAAAAGTATACCATATAAACCATATAAACTTCAGATATGATTTGCAATCTGGTTCTACTACACAACAACGAAATTCATGATTAAAAATATATTTTAAAAAAACTAATGCATAGACCTAATACAGCAATCATTCTGGCACTGATGGCTCAGTTGTGCAATGTATCGCCATGCTGTCCGATGACAGGAAGTATTGAAAGCGAAATCTGATTAATTACTGGAACTTACCTATATCTTAAATGACTCTCTGATGATTGGATTAGATCTCAAATAATAAGTGAAACCAGCTAAGTCGAAAATGGATAGTGTTATAGTGTTAATGGATAGCGAAAATGGCATAGAAGCCAGAAAATAATTCCTTAGAAAATTCAAAGTTTCATAAAGAAAGATAATTTCTACTCTATCTATCACAATAATAAGTGAACCTATCATATGAAAATTTGAAATCTAACTTGTTGCTATCAATAGTATAGGATGACGCTGAACTATCAATTCGACCACCAAGTTTTCCACCGAGTAAAACGCGACCTTTAATTGACAAATGAATCGATGATGAACTTAAGGACATTAATACATCGCTCTTTTTAAGATCGCCATCAGTATTAAATACTACAGTAATATCTTCTGTCGTTTGCGTCCAAATAAATAATTTTTTTTCTGCATTTTCCATCTGTGCTAAAAAAAAAGATGGAAAAATATTTTAGCATTTTCATTTCCATTACTTAGAACTCATTTCAAAGATTCAATTATTTAGAAGCCCTTTTAGAAGTTCTCCGCAAAATTTGGTTATAATTTTCCACAATAATTTTGGCTTGAATATTAAATATTATTAAAAGTTGGCTATATATTGGCTATATATTTTAATGATTGCATATTACCAAAAACATAACCAAGATTAATAATTTAAAGGTTTCGTGTACAAAAATTCACAAATCATAAATATTATAGAACCTCTCTTTTCTATCGCCACTGATTCGTCACCATTAAAAGGTAAATCATTCAAATTATCACTAAAATTTATATCGCCACATGAAGCTATAATAAGAAATCGACCCTGTGCATCAAGTGTGGCCATTCCTACATGTCCTTCACAAGTGAATTTCCGCAAATCACTAACGCTCCATGAATTTTTATCTAAAAAACAATCTTGTATCTAATAAAAAAAAGACACTTTAAATCGCATTAACTCAAATTTTATTGCAACTTAAATAATTTTTAAAAACTTTTACCAAGACTGAGGCAAAGCCAAAAAATCCTATTCCAAAAATTAGCTTTCGATGAATCTTTCGCTTTCGGAACGACTTTCCGAAGTAACAATCCTATCTTATTTTGCGCCAAACGTCGTCCATCAGTTATGATAAATGAAAAACTATTTCCATCAGAAATAAAAGAACGCGATTCGAAACAATGCTAAATAAAATTATAAGTGAAAACCACGAAGTAGAGAAACAGTCTATAAATTTCAAACTTTTTAAAAACTCTTTCTCCTCGATCAATGCTATCCAGATGAAATGATCTGCCAATATCAAATCCAAATCTCGCCACCAAAATGTGAATAAATGATATTTAAAGGTATAATAAATATGAGAAAATATATTGAAAATAAATGAAATTAAAATAAAAAACTACCCTTAACTTAAAATTTCAAATCAAATCTGAATTTATAGATCTATAATCCTCTCTTGATTAACCTTTAAACTGATAAAAAAATGAAAAAATTAAAGTCAAAAAACAAAACAAAAAACAAAAAAAATTTTTTTAACGCAATTTTTATTGTCTAATAGCTTTCGTAATTGTCATACTCAAAAAAAAATTTCTTCTCTTTTTCGGACAGGAGTAAACCAATGATAAAAATTAAATCTAATTACTGTTGGGGATTCTTTGAAATGGGGACTATTTTAATTCAAGAGGCGAATAAATCTGAGCTGGCGTTAAAGCTGAGTGAAATATCAAAACGCTTATGGAATCGGGAGATAAGCATCCAAATTTAACCCAAATAAATTGTCAAGTTAATTGTTAAACTGGCTTATACATGAGCACATGAGTGTAGGGAATTGACACAACTTTTCGCAATATCAAATGATGCATATTAACATTGCATTCATCCACCACACTTTTCAACATAAAATAGGAGTTCAGAAGTTTATCAATACAGAGTATAATATAAGCTGTAGCATCAAAAGCGAGAAGATCAATCGAAACCTAAACCGATAGCCGACATAGGCGGGTGAAAAAAGGAATAACCCAGATATTTTAGGCATGGCACTAGATCATTAGGAGATAACCTAATTTTCTAACTATCAATAAAGCCAGCCAAATTACCTGTGGTACAAATTGCTTTCCTTTTAGATAAATTCTAAAATTTTAAAATTAAAAATAAGATAAATTTTGTGAAAAAAAATTTTATACACAATCATAAAAATTTTCCTTGTTTAGTTTTTCGAAAACAATAACTCAACTAACCGTCCAATTTCGCTCATTTGTGTGAACTTCATCGTTGCTACCATATAATGAAAATTGTCCACTACCATTGCCAATTGCTGCAAAATTCGCGTCGACAAGAATAACAGTGATGGGATATGAATCCTCACCAATATTATTCTCTGCTGGATCTCGTTCAGAATAAATTTCCAATAATTTTTTAAATTCGAAAGATGTTTCCTGCAATTTAAGAAATCATAAGCGATTTACGGCAAATATGAATGAATATGAATGAATAATCAAAACTTTTTTTTTCAGAAAGTTCAATCAATTTTATTTCAGCAAAATTAACAAAATTCTCTAATAATAATAAATATAGTAAATCTTTTTAAATTAAATTTGCTAATTTTTACCAACGTTAACAAATATAGGGAGCCAAATTAACAAAATTTTTTCATTTTTTTAATATGTTGGCTAATTATTATAAAATTCTCCATAACAACAAATTAATCAAATTCATTTATAGACGAGAACTGTTGAGCTGAGTATTAACCTACAAAAAAATCACTCTAATGAAGAATCATTCTTAGGAAAAATGGCAAAAAATTAATGAAAGATTTACACCGTATAAAAACATTTAAAAAAAAGATAACAAAAAAAATTTCAGACTAATATCATGCAACTTTGGAAAGATTTCGGTCACCAAAAAACATATAGTTCAGGGATCATTTAAGGCAGATTGAAGGCAACTTATTAAGATTAAGAATATAAAAAATTAAGATGGGCAGAGAACTATTTAATGTTTAATGTTTAAATAACAAGAAGTTTATGTGATTAAATCGATTTGACAAAATGGCAAGGAATTAATCGAGTTAATATTTTTTAAAATTAAAGGAATTTTAAAAAGATCGCTTGTGAAAAAATAAAAATTCTACAGGAAAAATATTAAATATTTACACTCATTAAATATTTAATATTTAAATATACTCATTAAAATTCACAAATAATATGTAATTTCTGCATAGCTTGACTTTCAAAGATTCAAAAACTTTTAGCTTTCAAGGAAGAAGCTTTTTTAATCTTTGAGCAAAGGAATTTTAATGCATACAATTGAGTAATTCGTTTTTTCTTTGTTATATTTTCAAAAAAGACCATATTACTGCATGAATTATCAAAAATCAATTATCCAAGAAATTCAACCTTTATGCTAAATGTTATGCGATATAAACAATTATCATCCAACACAACGTAGAAAATATCAATGAAATTATTCGAAAAGTAAGGATCATGGATAAGATAATTTGTTTCATTGAATAATTTCACATGTTCCAAACCATACTGCGCATTACTTGGCTCATTTTGCTTAACTAAAATTCTGAGACGTATTAAGAAAGTATTAATTGATACATGATTATTAATTGAATTTCACAAATTAAACGCATTATTAAAATATCATATCGATAATTGACAATTTTAAGAACTATTCACAACTACTCTCATCACTAAAAAATTTTATTTGCTTAGAAAATGAGTTTTTTAGAAAATATTTTTAAATGTGATAAGGTAATTCTAATTTTTCTGCTTCAGCGGATAAATTTTCTCAGTTCAAATCTTTTAACATTCTTTAAACTACTGACTAGCTTGTTAATGAGGCACTTCTGTTTCTATTTTATGATTCTCTGGTATGTCACAGATGCCAGTCGGAGCTAACCAAATCAGAAATGGAGACAGAAAAGGAAAATATCTTTCGTAATATGAATATTAAATGCAATAATGCAAGAAACAAAATAAAATGCTCACTTTTAGCAGGCAATTGGACATCAAAAGAAGGAAAAGTGTCCAGCGACAATTTGTATCCACTAAAATTGACATCCAATAATGATGAATCGGGTTTTAAATCAATGTAATTTTCTGCTACTAATGACATTCTATTACCTTAAAAAAAATGGAACTAATTGAGATACATAAATAAAAAGTGAATAAAATTAAAAATACCGTCATTCCTGGCTAGGCTCGCTTTCTCACTTCGCTATGGGACCATACAAATGATGCGAGGGAGCCGTACAGCGAGAGAAGTGCAGGCGGGTCCCCCGGGTTCTAAGCGCGTTCTATGGTGCTGGGAGGTCGGATGACCCACTTCAAAACTTTGTATAAGGTAAGCTTCTAAAATGGAACACAAATTAAAACTTTTCAAGAACACAAATAAATTATTAGAAATTTCAAATTAATCAATCAAACTCCGACACAACAAATTTCAAAGTAACAGAATTCATAATTTCGTTTTAAGAATTGACCATTCGAAATATTTTTCTAGTAAATAAATAAATAGATAAACATAATATTTAAGTAGACAAATATTTTTCTATATTTTCATACGGACTTCGATGTGCACAGTGTGCAATCAGCCACGTGTAGGGAGACACGCACACACATATATCCATCCACGCCAGACGCAGAAGAAATTTTGGCTCGCAAATGCATTCAAATCCTTCATTGGCTGCTCTCCATTTGGTTTGCAATGAGATTTGCCCGATTTCCATATTAATACATTGTGCTGGAGTGAAGGTCTATGAAGCTATCTGCCGCTTTCACTGCTTGGACGTAAAATCTAGCTTGGCCTATCATGATAATAGATCTGTAGCATATTTCATTTTACTGGCCATGCTTCGCATGTCGGTCATTGTAGGACGGTTATAATTTGAGGTCATTTCACGATGATAGGAGAATAACTTAATATTCCTTAATCTCTGTCTTGTTCCGTGCATTAGATTTTCTAAACCCTGCAAACTATCCTCGTCCCGTGGTCTTTTCCCGTAATTTATTGTTTTATTTCTCTTATTGTTAAATCTTTTGGTATGATTTGTGGTAGCTCTCACTAAAATTTTGAAATTGCAAAGGAAAAATTAATAGGTGTGCGGAAATGGAAGATGAGAGGAATTCGAGGATGCTGGGGAACAATTATAGGGGATTCGGCGGATGTCGAAGCAGCACATTGGCTGCATGAAGGAGATTAAGAGAACTGAAAGTATTAAGAGGAGTGCTGTGAATTTTGAGCAAATATTAGGATGTATGCCAAGGTCTTTGAGGATGGTTCTGCAAGTCCATAAAAAGAAGACCCTTTTGCGAGTCTTTTCTGCAACGCTATATAACTATTGCTGCGATCGTCTTGTGGTTTCAACCCTCCGTCTTGTTGTAGGTATTACTCGTTTCCGTTTCCCATTCATTTTGGCTGGCAATTCTGGTCGCATTTTTTTAAAGATCCATTTATTTTGTTTTCTA